TTTATGTATAAAGTTTTTATATTTTCACTTTTTTATACTTTAATATACATTTATTAGTCCCCTACCGGTTTAACTGGAGGGGACTTAAGGTTTACCCTCCGTCCGTCTGTCTGTCTGTCCGTCTGTCTGTCAGTCCGTCCACAAAACTGGATCCTGCGATAACGCAAAAAGTACTGAAAATATTTTAATCAAACTTGATACAAGGAAAGATGGCAGTATGGAGATTATACCAGTCTTTTTCTTTTCTTCCTATGTTGAAAATTCTGGTTGCTATGGCAACTAAAATCTGAAAACATAAACTGGATCCAGTGATAACTCAAAAAGTACTGAAAATATTTTTATGAAACTTAAAATATGGGTAGATGGCAGTCTGGAGATTATGCACATCTTTTTCTTTTCTTTTTATGTTGAAAATTCTGGTTGCTATGGCAACAAATAGACTGAATTTCAAGATTTCTGATTTAAATTTTTAAGCTTTTTCACTATAAGTTTTTTATTTCTTAAGGTGTTTATTTCAAACTTCTGGTATATGTGACAAGGTTTACAACTCTAGCACAAAAATTATCAGAATTACCTCCCTTGAACTTTTTATGAAAAAAATGTCTTTTTTAAATAACTTCTTTATTTCTTAATGTATCTACTTCAAACTTCATATATATGTTTCTTATTATCACTCAACATTTTTGAGAAGGTTAAATACTCTAGCAAGACTATTTTCAGAATTATGTCCCCCTTGAAATTGGTATTTTTTACTCCAACTTCTTCATTCCTTTAACTTTAAAATAACACTCACATCATATATGACAATGTTCATAAATCTAGCATCTTCATTTCAAGAGTTGTCTTCTCTTTAAGAATTTTGCATTAAAATATGTTATATTTTGGTAACAGGGATGTTTGAAAAAATAACTTTAGAGTCTCCTTCAGTCTGCCTGTATGTCTGTCTGTCTGTGTCTGTCTGTCTGTCTGTCTGTTCATAAAAACTGTTTCCTGAGATCACTTTTAAAGATTTTTTCCAACAAAATTACTTAAAAAAGAGAAAAGTTGAAACATTATTTATTCTTATATAAATTCATCCTGAGAAAATTGGACCTTTTGATTATCTGTTGTATAAACATAATTTCCTTACCAGGCAGGGAAACTTAACACATTACTGTGATATAGACAAACTTAAAACTCAAAAGATTTAAGTTCAATCCTGTCATTTATTCACTGGTAAATTAAAATTGAATGGCCAATTGCCCATCAGAATGTTGCTTGGGTTCTAACCGGTAGGGGACTTATGGATTGCTTGCAATGCTATGATAATCGCTTGTTCTCTGTATAGTTTGTTTATTTATAATAAAATATCAAGACAAACATCGTCGTATTGTTGTTACATCATTTCCATGTAGTACTAAAAGCAACACAATCGTAACTACTCGGCAATCTCCGTCAAGTGAATTCTTGAAGTCGCCCGATGTATTCCGAGTGAAAGCAACATTATGTAGAATCTTAAATTTGTACTTTTCAGGGTTAATTTAATATAAAGTTTTAAGAAATGAAACGTTTCAACTTCTGAAATCATGTTTTCACTGAACCAGAAATAAAACAGTGTGATATAATATGACATTTTTGTAGCTACCACACAAAATTTGAATTTGCTAAACATTGTTGGAAATAAATGTTTAACTCAAATGAAGGAAAAAATTCATTAATCGGTTACACAGTTGTTAGAGACCTAGCTAACTTGAACCACAGGTGGTAGTATCAGTGTTTGGACATCCCGCCAAACCCTGCCCCTAGACCCCTGCTACAACCCTGAAAATAAATCACTACTGAGGCTTAGGGGCCTACTATATGGGGACAGGGGACATATTCCAATGGACAGTGGACATATTCGAATTATGGCCCCGTCAAATTTATTAATAACACAGACATTGTGTTTTGAAGGTACTTTTGTCATTGTAATTCTTTCTTGTTTATGTGTAGAAAATGAGCAGTATTTTTGTGTGTGTTTTTTTTACCCGAAACTAAACATTTTGGTAGCTTTGTATGTATTTATGACTCTCCGAATGGAGATAAAAATGTAAAAGCAAGCTTTGACAGTTGGCGGCAAACAAGTAAGAAACTTTGGATAAATTTTGTGAAAAATCTGAAGGTATGACAAACAGCTGTTCATTGGATTTTTTTTGAAAATGCCATTAATTGAACTTTGTGTTAGTGATATTTGGAATCGTGCAAATTCTGGACTATCCTGCACCTTCATGAAGATTGCCGATCATCGCCCGATGTAAGTATATTTCAGATGTGATTTTTGCTCGGTGGGGGTAAATACAAGTTTGCTTCTTTAAAAAGAAGCATGCGAGAGGTCTTTTTGCTGCTGTGGAAGATTTGTTTAATTTGAAAATATTTGAAAATAAGACACAACGAATGGTTATAAATTACAATTATTTAACAAAATATAATTTATTATATAAATTTAATATATAGTATCATAATGAAAGTTTGTTAACACTTCATTTTTTAATGTTTTTTGAAAGATTATATGCTGGAGAAATGGATTTTTTTCCTTGACGCATTAGGGATACTTTTTATACAAAGGGAACTAAATTTAAATAAATGATATGTATATTAAAAGTAGTATCAAAATAAAAGTTTCTTGTAAAATTCAATCAGCAAATTTTCGGTTTATGTTTTGGTAAGTATATGAAACATTTCCTCTACGTTTTCCAAAACGGGCATAAAGTATGTTAATCAGATAATTTTAAGTCCAGGATTTACAAAAAAATGTTTTATATCATTTGATTGGAATAAACAGAATATAAAGCTGCATGCCTTTTAAGAAAATCAAACGTGTGTCAAATTTGTGCCACTTGCGCCAAAAAATCCACGTTGCGTTACTTAGTCATACCAGTTCAAAAAAACTTTGTACAAGCGGTACACGGTTCACTCGGTCGTATAATAGTGCATGGTGTTAATGTAGCTATGATGTTCACTGTTACTATTTATCGTTACTGTTACTATTTATCGGAACAAGAAATAGTAAAACGCTATTAAGAAAACAATACTGTAATCGATTATACAGTTTAAAAGATTAAAACGGAATGAAACATCCACAACGTAAATAATATTTTCCGATTTTTCTTTGTACCGATCGATTCGTTCACTTCGATGTTTCGTAACGTACCGGAAAACGGTGTTTAGCTAAGTTTTCGAAAAGGTCAATTTTTCGTTTAAGTTAAGTCGTATTTTGGAACGGAGCATGCGCAAAACAAATTTTGTAGACTGCTCCTAATGGTTTTAAGCTGTAAATGACATTCATTTACTACAATCAGATACGCAAAAATGGATGCCGCCAGCAATCAGTCTGAACACTATGGAGAGGTCTGATGACCTCTCCAATAAATGGATGTCAGTCATTATATTTATGAGCAATGCAAGCAAACTATAATTTTCTTCAATGCATGCCATATATCCTTGAATAATGCTAACATGCAACTGATTATCTGCCCGTGAAACAGATTTTGAAATTTAAGAATTGTGTTTCTGGCCACACTGTATGAACTACAAAAATGCGCATTTTAGGTCCCCTGTCCCCATAAATGAATAGTATTTTATCAACATACATGCTCCTTTAACTTTATTCCGAATTTCATCACGGAGTCCCTGCACTGTGAAAGACAACGCGCGTGGCTTAATGTTCGGCCATTTCCGCTTGTTGTCCCCGAGGAAAAAATAAAGAGTTTTTATTTTGTATTTACATTGATTATTTACATACTGATAAATATTAAAATGTTTATAACTTTCATTGTTTTAACTTCGAAAATTGAGTATGTCAGTATAATAACTGTAATACGTGCACGCATTCATTCTGACACTGAAAAATAACAATTGTACCTCACCCCACCCACTATATTATAGTGTTATCATTAGGCACCGTACTGCTACTAAAATTTCGTGCTAAATGCCATTGCACCGCGAACTCTACATAACAGACAGGGCAGGGACTAATGGTAGGTAAAACACGACTGATTAAAAATTGCCCCCGCAATAAATGACACACAATTAAGCAAGCAGGGTTTCAAATGACTGTTGCATTAAAGGGACACTTATCTTTTCCTGGATTTGAACGAAAACCAGAATGTTAATTGATTCCGATGTTAAATCGAAAATAATGAATATAATTATGATTGTGTATATTGTACGGTAAGATAACCAATGTTGTACAGTATGGTAATTTATTTCATTTACATGTATATAAAATTCAGTATGTAAAGTCATGACTGTTGTGTTAATACATACCAACAGTGATTAACTCGTAAGTATATGTATACTATGAGGTTATTATTTATTATACTGAGTACAATACTGAATTCAATTGGACGAGTGCACAACTGTCAAACCTTTATTAGACGAGTCTGATATATGATTTGCAACTGTGTGCGAGTCCAATAGATCAGTATTTTTTTCAATCATGTTTAATGGCCTCTGTGTTTCACACCACTATTTTTTTAACATTTTGACTGAATTTCATAACTTCAGTTACAATAAGGATTTGATATAGATTTTGGACTCTCAAAAATGAAAACGAGGCTAGGTTATTTGTGATATGGATTTTGCTATGGAAATGAAAACGAGACTTTACGGATTTGATATTGACTTTTTGGACTCTGAAAATGGAAACGAGGCTAAATTGATATAGTAATTTCTATTGGAACAACTAGAACGTCACGGGCTGCAAATGCTTAAAGTGCATCGGTTATGTTTTATAACAGTGAAATAAATTACATTATTTATACGACCCCTTCTCCACCTAATTATAATAAGATATATGTACTGAGAGGAATCAAATACTTGGCAGCTATTGAACTTAGAAAAGAAGGGCAGCTGTTGATCTTAGAAAAAGAAAATCAGCTGTTCAACTTAGGAAAGATTACAAAAAAAACAGCATAGGTTTTTGTGTTTTTTCTTCTTCATTGTATTTGATATCAAACGACGCTAGCTATTCACTAAGAATTTCAATCATAATGTAATCCGTAAACCATAGCAACCGCGAACAGTGACGTGTTACTAAATTTAGCACTGATGAAATTGTCTGTTTCCTTATTCCAAAGACAACGTGATCCGAATTGCATCCCTGGTCTTTCTTTCATTGATCCTATCGAAACAACGCAAACCATTTTAAATTTTCCGTAACCCATGTCTTTTATTGTTTCTAAAATCCGTGAACTTAGCATTTGACTTAATGTTTTACATTGTTCTGGCTCGTACTTTTTGTCATGTAAATTGTTCACTAATATGTTCTCCGCTGCCTTTTCAATTTCCACATTGACAAAGTTTTTCTCTGGTTCAAGTTTGTATGTGTTTTCGTATTTAATGTGACGTCGAGTGCTCGCGCTATTTGATCCAAGGGGCGTAACTTCTAAGAATGATGCCGTTTCTGCCTTTAAACTTTCCAAGGTCTGTCCGCGTCTTGAACCGGAAGTACTAATTGGTAGAATCTTGGAACGTGTCAACCTTGGTGACCCAACCACGATCTTCTTTCCTTTCATCATCTTTGCAGTCAATGACTTCGCCCTCTTTCTAAACAAAATAGAAATTTTAGTTGTTTTTTTTTAAATAAATTATGTATTTACGACAATGTACAAATTTCCAAATCGCAATAATGACACTAAGGCATGTAATACGATGGACACTGCATATGTGGGTACAGTTGACAAGTATATATAAAGGAATTGGGTAGAAAGGCAAAGAAAACGGACGTGGTTGTCGAGGAAACTTTATCAAGGGTTAGATAGTATGGAATGGTGCGTTTAAAAAGATTCCTAAATTTAATGTACATGCCATCAGTTTAAAGTGTAATCATAAAAAGACTAACTTTATTATATATCAAACATTTAAAATATGACATGTTAAAGTAAGTTTAAATACACGAATCCATCATATCTTTTATTTTTGATACGATGTGGTTACCATATCAAATTATATCCACAACAATATCTTTGTAGTACACGAAAAATAATTGTCATAGTTTACATAACCACTTTAATTTGGAACGATAAAAGTTATAACAAATAAGTATTATTATGTACATTCGTTTTATATTTCTATAAATTCTTAATTTAGTTGAAAAAGAACTTTTGTAACTCTTTTTTTAAACAGCACTTACTTTCTATTTCCTGTTATACTCCTCGCTAAAGTATTGAAATGTTTTATTTCAATACATCGAAAAAGACCCTTTCTTACATTTTAAAAATTAATCTCAATCATAAACCATTAATTACTTTCCAAAAATTATAAGGCTCCGTAATTTTATTTAAATTCCTTATACAATGTTTATGTTTATTAAATAGAAGTTGAACATAAACAAGGCGTGCTTTCAAAATCAATAACCGATATCGATCTATACCAAACAAAGCAATAAATTTTGATATGGCATCTTGATATAAAATAAAATCAGCTTTAAGACAAAGTATTTATTATACTTTTAGAATTATAATCATGGTTTAATCGGTTTTAAAATCCTCCTGATATTGATCGCATATTAAATATATTTTTATATACATCTATATATACACATGTACAGCTATTAAATCCATAGCAGTTGCATGGGGAGAAGCAAAAGTTTAACATCGTATTATTCGTGTTCCATTTAGAAATAAATTGACAAATAAAGTGGACAATTATAAATATCAATAGTTATTTTATTGACTGTTTGATATTGACACTCCTTGATTAGAAATCAAATATTGTCACTAAGTTAAGTTGAAAATATAGTTTGCCCTATAAAGAGGGTGACCACATGCTTTTAACAGCATGCCCGATTGAGAAAGGGACTTAATGCATTTGGCTGTATGCGAATGATAGTAAAGGATTAAAGGCTTAAACTGCTTTTGTAGAGAGTTTGTGGTATTATACTTTAAGCCAGAAACTTCAACACGGTGTCATACCACGTGGCTTTTTAGCTCGACTATTCGATAAGAATAAGTAGAGCTATTGCAGTCACCCGAGCGTCGCCGTCAGTGTCGGCGTCTGAGTCATGACCACTTATGTTAAAGTTTTTGTAATAGTTCAAGTATTTTCAAAGTCCATTGACATATGGCTTTGAAACTTTGCACACTTGTTCACCATCATGACCCCAACCTGTAGACAGGAGGAGGTAACTCTATCAAGCATTTTGACAGAATTATGCCCCTTTTTCGACTTAGAATTTACGTTAAAGTTTTTGTAATAGTTCAAATATTTTCAAAGTCCATTGACATATGGCTTTGAAACTTTGCACACTTGTTCACCATCATGACCCCAACCTGTAGACAGGAGGAGGTAACTCTATCAAGCATTTTGACAGAATTATGCCCCTTTTTTGACTTAGAATTTACGTTAAAGTTTTTGTAATAGTTCAAATATTTTCAAAGTCCATTGACATATGGCTTTGAAACTTTGCACACTTGTTCACCATCATGACCCCAACCTGTAGACAGGAGGAGGTAACTCTATCAAGCATTTTGACAGAATTATGCCCCTTTTTCGACTTAGAATTTACGTTAAAGTTTTTGTAATAGTTGAAATATTTTCAAAGTCCATTGTCATATGGCTTTGAAACTTTGCACACTTGTTCACCATTATGACCCCAACCTGTAGACAGGAGGAGGTAACTCTATCAAGCATTTTGACAGAATTATGCCCCTTTTTCGACCTAGAATTTACGTTAAAGTTTTTGTAATAGTTCAAATATTTTCAAAGTCCATTGACATATGGCTTTGAAACTTTGCACACTTGTTCACCATCATGACCCCAACCTGTAGACAGGAGGAGGTAACTCTATCAAGCATTTTGACAGAATTATGCCCCTTTTTCGACTTAGAATTTACGTTAAAGTTTTTGTAATAGTTCAAATATTTTCAAAGTCCATTGACATATGGCTTTGAAACTTTGCACACTTGTTCACCATCATGACCCCAACCTGTAGACAGGAGGAGGTAACTCTATCAAGCATTTTGACAGAATTATGCCCCTTTTTCGACTTAGAATTTACGTTAAAGTTTTTGTAAAAGTTCAAATATTTTCAAAGTCCATTGACATATGGCTTTGAAACTTTGCACACTTGTTCACCATCATGACCCCAACCTTTAAACAGGAGGAGGTAACTGTATCAAGCATTTTTTTTACTATCAAGCACTAAGAATAGTCGAGCGTTGCTGTCCTACCGACAGCTCTTGTTATTATCTGTATTGGGTAAAAGCCTTATACAATAGATGTCCAGATTTTATTTTCTTCCATAACTTTTAAAATATTTCCTTATTTTTAATCAGTTAAAATAAAGAACCCTCTTTTTCTATTGAGTCAGACATGCATAGAATGTATGAGGGGAAAATACAAACATGAATACGAAAAGTGATCAGATATTCGAGCGGTTTCACTTTACGCAAAAAAAAAAAGAGAAATATTTCAGGAAACATTCTATTTATTGGTTCTTCACTAGAATGGACTGAATCTACACTTCATCCAATAAAAATAGATAGTGAAGTTACAAAATGTATATTGTGGTCATCTTACTTCACGTAACTTAGCACTTTGGAACAAGTAGGAAAACAATGAACTTATCGTACAAAAATGTCATAAGATGTAACATTTAGGTATTTTCTGATGTACGAGAAGGTCATAGAATAATGGTGTTACATTATAGGTTTTTTTTTTCATTTTTCAGTTAAAATTACTAAATGTTATGTTAATCAATTTTTAATATCAAAACTATCTTTATTTTGTTACTTATTTTTTCAACAGACAAGAACATTTAGAAAATGATGATTGTTTCAGGCGTACCAACTATTGTGAAATTTTGCAGAAATGAGTAGAATATTGTTCTGTTTTACGAAAAATTATACAGATTTAAAACATTTAACAAAGAAAACTTCTTGTTTAGGTGTAAGACAAAAATATGTCAATTTTAACCAATGTTAACACATGGAAATATGCCATCACCCTGAAATAAGCTAGGACGTGAACTTAGTGATGTTGAGTTTATGTACGCCATTTTAGTTACATGAGAAAATTTTTAGTTTTACTAGTATCAACTTTTATTGTTGCGGACCGCTTAAAGATTTTGTTTGTTTGTTTGTTCATTTTACGCCTTTTTCAACAGTATTTCAGGCATATAGGCGGGTAGTATCCTAACCATCGTTCCTGGAGAGTTACACAAGTACTAGACTACCTTCCTCCGCGCTAAACTACAAAAGCATCTCCCGGGGATCGAACCCACGCCAGAGAGGTAACTGGATTAGAAGTCATCGACTCTAACCCCTCGACCACGGAGGCGACCGCTTAAAGATACACGGTTAAAAAAATAACTTTTTATTATTTGAAATTAGTCTGCATCAGTCGTTTTACAGTTTGTTATAATTTGTCAAATTACCAAGTCCTTTCCTGATGAGAAATATCCATTGTCCAAAGAATTAGCAATATATTTCGACTTTTTTGTCGGATTATTTTTTGTACTTTTATGGATTACCAATATGACTTATTTGTATAATTCGAAGTTTATGTTAAATAGCGGCAGTAAATTCTGTTATGATTTATTATGAGTGTAATATCAAAAGGTGTTTAAAATGCAAAGAAATTGACCTAATTATTATACTTATATTCGCTTTGATTCCACTAATCTAAATTTGATTTAAGAAGCTTAAAGAATTATACGAGCAAATTGTTATTAAGGTCCCAAGGTTACTTGTGAAAATAAACATTGCCCGAAGTTCGACATTATTTCGCACTGATTTGTAACAACCGTGTAAAAAAACCTTTACGTACTGAACGTGGGTGGGTTCTACCCAGGTGCAAAAAAGTAATTTGCATATTGCAAACGGCACTTACTATCCACGTAAATTAAAAGAAAGGACTTTTATAATATTTTTCCAAGATTTGTAAACCATCTGATGAAGACCTGAACCAATAATTTGGGTAAAATTTTAAAGATCATTTTCTCTCCCCGTTTTTGCAGTATATTCATTTTCATTGTACAAAATAACACAGAAATATAAAAAGAGTTGCAACGCTTTTCACTCAAACCTTTTTTTAGAATCGAACAAAAAAATCGTTTTTAATTCAATTACTATATTTTTTATCATCCTTTACAGAACTAAGGAATTTAGCTCTAAATGTGCAGTAATATGTCGTCAAGGTTGCAAAATGTAAACAAAATAATATTTTAACTTCCATACAAAATACTTATTAACTATAATTTAACCAATTGTCAACAGAGCTTAAGAACAGTGCTCTTATTATTTACTCTTATTCAAGTATATATTTATAAGAATCCTTAGCTTTTAACTACGTTGGCAAGCAAACATGAAGCGCCGCAATGCGAGGAAAACCGTTTTCAACGATGACAGCAATCAATAGGTCAAAATGAACTGCAGTTATTGAGTAGATGCTGAAAATTCTATTGTAAGCAAACGACCATGACCTTGCCCCCAGATATCTAAGCTGCCACACAGCAAGTTTGGTGAAGCAAACTCAAGTTATTACGTGAAAACTGAATTTCTTTTTTAAGCAACAGTGACCTTGACCTTGTTTACATACACCAGGGTAGCAATCCTAAGTTGCCTCTTGATATAAGCTTCCCACATACTAAATTTGGTGTCAAAAGGTCTAAGCAAACTCAAGTTATTATGCGGAGACTGATTTTTTTAGCAACATTGACATTGACCTTGATCACAGACATCTGGGTAGCAATACCAAGTTGTGCCTTGATATAAACTACTCACAAATGTTGTCAATGGGTCACAACTAACTCAAGTTATTGAGCAAAAACTTAATTTCAATTGTTAGCAATTAAGTGACCTTGGCCTTAATCCTAGTCACCTGGGTTGTTATCCATAGTAGCCTCTTTATATAAGCTATCCATACACCAAGTTTGGTGTCAATAGGCCAAAGCAAACTCAAGTTATCAAGCGGAAACTGAATTTTTATATTGAGGAACAGTGACCTTGACCTTGATCACAGACATCTGAGAATTCTAAGCTGTCTCTTGATATAAGCTAACCATACACCAAGGTTAGTGTCAATAAGCAAAAGCAAACTCAAGTTATTGAGCGGAAACTGAATTTCTATTTTAAGTTACAGTGACCTTGACCTTGGTCATAGACATCTGGTTAGCAATCTCAAGCTGCCTCTTGATATAAGCTACCTATACACCAAGTTTGGTGTCAGTAGGCCAAATCAAACAAAAGTTATTGAGCGGATACCAAAAGTTGACCTTTCACCTTGATTTTCGTCGAGATTGGAACACTTTTAAAATGTTATGAATTAATGATCATAAGAAATATGTCATCGGTGTTTACATGTATTTTATAATTACTGTTTGTCATATTTTAACAATGTAATCAGAAACTGGTGTATTATTGCTTATTGTTGATATACATTACTTGAGTTGATTTCCCAAAAGAATTCGATGCCTGCAAAATGTTCAAAGTGATGCAAAGAATCCATTAAAACCAGCGTGTCCATTTAATTTACTATTTTACATTAGTTTATATTGCTTTTTAGTTATTAAATTATTTACATAGATGTCAAAATAAACTTTCTTTCATTAATAACAAAACATTTTAAGCACATCGTAAAATGGAATAATAATTCGAAATTTATGGTGGCTGATTTGGTACACTTTGCGCGTTGCGTTGTCGATAGCGACAATACAGACTATCGTTGTCTCATTTTTTCTTGTCGCTAGCGAAAGGCAAGGAACGACGCATTGTCGTCTTATCGTCTTGTCGCTAGCGAAGCACGCCCAACGCTGCGATGTCGCCCTGTCGCTTGGCTTATAAGCCAATCTTTCGATTTGAGCCGAGCGACAATTCGACACTGCAACAACACGGTGTGCATCGTTAGCGACAGGACGACAAGACGAGTGTCCGACAACGCGCCGTTTGGCGCTTTATCGAGCTGTCGGTATTGACAACACAACGCACAAAGGCGTTCCAAAATCAGCCACCATAGTAAATTGAAAAGTGGGTGTTGTATCTTTATTGACAATTATAAACAATACTTTTACGGATTTAGAAATTTTGTTGCAAAAATTGTTTATGTATATGGCAAATGAGTGTAATGTTTGGAAACTGTAAAACGATATCAAAAATTAAAAGTTTTTGAGAAATAAAAATGATAGCTTTTCTGAGGCATAATGGGCCTTTAACTAATGATAATCAGAGCACAAATAACAATCAGATATTGTGTTAAAGGGACACCCAGGGCTGGGAATCAAAACTGCGTCATATCCTACAAAATGTCAACAAACGCCGCCATCTTGGAACGAAAAAGGTATGTTTTCGTTTATAACTCATTTTGTTGGAAATGACTGCCGCTGAGGTTTTTTGATATAATGGGACTAGAAATAATTTTCCGAGATTAATGTCCCATTTGATGTACTTCAAGAAATTAACTTTTATACAAAAAATTTGATAATTCGTTAACTCCGGTTTTCCAGACTAATTATTCCAATTGTGAAAAATGACCGAAATCGAAAAGCGTTACAGTGCTTTCCACTCAACTCGGACTGTGAGCACAACAATACCATATCAATTTATTTCTGAGTCTAAAAGTATATCTATCTATCTTTTGCATATACATGTATTTCTGTTTTAAGTGCCCACGTTGATTTAATGTAGGCTATTAAAATTTTATGTTTTTAGGATTTTGGACCTCAGTGCATTTCCTTTGAGTTCTGTCAATTAATGTAATGACCATACAACTTTTATCCAGATAATAATCTATCTATCATAAGATTAGTTCATTATCAAATTGTTAGATCGATCATCCCTAGGCATAAAGTCTTTCTATTTTATGAAGCTTTTTTAAACCTTAATTGTTTAATACATTATCTGTAGGCATAATTCTTTGTGATTCATAAACAGTACTGTTTCCCCTCACTAAAACAATATCATTAGAATCGTACGACAGACCGGCGGTGACATTCTTGAAATCTCGGATTCATCTTTACGACATTCAGAATTTACGAATTCAAAATTTCAACTTTGTGAAAATATAATTCGTGAAGTTAAAATCGTGAAGTTTAAAACATGAACACATGAAGTTGAATTCGTGAAAGTTGAAATCGTAAAGCTTAAGTCGTGAAGTTTAAATAGTAAAATCTCGAATTCGTGAAATTCAAAACTCGAATTCGTGCATTTCGTTTATTGAAAACGTATCGTATGAAATCGGGAATTCATAAAGCTGAAATGTCCACATCGGTCTTTCGTAGGATCGGGTTCACATAAGTGCCTTAATGTTTATATATTTTTAAGTTAATATTTCTTAATTATGATTGAAGCTAATGGCAGATTTTAAATTCCAGCAGGACCAATTAAGAGTTGATGCCAATCATTTTCAATATCAAAATTCATTCAACCCTGTGAATTTACAAAACGAAATAAACAAAGGATAATAGTATGAAAATGATTGTTGGAACTGAAATTCTACTTCGAGATATTGGAATATCGAAATAAAAATATCGGGATAATCAAAGATCATATCCAATATTGATAAAGGAGGAAGAAAATCTGGACTTCATCGAGATAACGAAATATCGAGAAAAGCAATGTCGAGATAACGATTGTTGACTGTACGCATTTTATTTTATCAATATTTCTCAATATTTTCATTTATAAGTGTAAAATTAACTCCGTTTCACTAACAGAACCGCACTGTTTGATTAAATGTATTATTTTAGTTTGATTTATCCCAAATGATCAACAAATTATGCATTGGCAATAAAATGCATTGATATATATTGATGTAAGGTTTGAGTTAGTGTTTTGTATGTAAGTCATTATACTATGATAACATTTTACTCCTATTTTAGTTATTAAACATCTTATACGCTTAATCCATTATTTAAACATTAACAAATACATATTAAAGGGACTCCACTGAGGTTTTAAAGCCTAAAAACATAACATTTAAATTTCTTACATAAATGAGCTGGGGCACTTTAAACAGAAATATATGCAAAGATAGATAAGAAATATACTTTGAAATAAATTGAAAATTGTATTTTTATGATTTTCCTAGCCTGATTTAAGTGAAAAGCGTTTTAAAAAACGCTTTTCATTTTGTGTCATGTTTTTACAATTTGAATAATTATTCTTGGAAAACGAAGTGCACGAATGACCTGAAATTTTGCACAAAGATTAGTGGTCTAAACCTACCTCAAATGGTACATTTATCTGGCAAAAATATTTTCAGTCCCATCATGTCAAAAAACCTCAGTGGGGTCCGTTTAAACATTTCCAAAGAATTTAAAAAGGATTTCTGATTCATTATGTACGTGTCATCATAAATCATAAATGTATGAACAATTCAAAACGAAGAAATGAAAATTTTGCCTGTATCTCCCTTTAAATAACTGATGAAGAATGTTTAACTATTTTTGTAAGAAATATGATGAATTATAATATTTTGGAATCGACTTATTTTTGGAATGGAGAATTTTATAAAATTTGGGGTTGCAGTGATTTTTGCTGCAATGTGAGCTATATAAAGTAGAACTATATTCCAGTAAAATTATAAAACGAAGTACAATAACCGGGAACCATCTTTGAACATCCGATTAAAGATCGAAAGTGCTTGAAAACTCTTGATTTGTTTATATAAAGTAATTTGCTAAAATTATTTTTTTTTTCTGTGAGATTATTTCTTTTATCATCGGATGAAATAGAACATTATGGAATTAATACACCGGCAAGTTTAAGCCTTGCTTTGAAGGTCTAGATTTAGAAACAAATATTAATGGATTGTTAATGACTTCTAAAAACGGACTCAAATACTTATTTTTGGTCACTAGATACTGAACATGAATAATACAACGGAGGTTTCCATTAATAATACGGACACCGGTGCTCCAAGGAGCGGTTACGATTTACCAGTGTACGGTTTGTCAAATGGATCGTTTTACCGGATTCATATTCCAGCTCTGTCATGTATTTCTTTAAGTCTTGTTTGCGTAATCATCGTCATGGTTTTGTCATATTCTCACAAGAATTTCAGGAAGTTCTTTTCTTGGGCAAAACGTGATCGATTTATCATTTATCTTGCTATTTGCGACGGTGGATTTAACATTTTTCATGGCCTTGACCATTTGCATTACCTCACAACTAAGGATCACATTCGGCCTAAGATATTGTGCGAGTTTTATGGCTTTCTTTTGACAGAATTTATTACAGCACAAAATCTTTTAGTGAATGTTGTCGCAATTAATGCTTTTATTATGATGTTTTTCAACAAGAACTTAAACTTTGGTAGATATGATTGGAAACTATTGGCGTGGACATTTGGTTTACCTTTTGTTGCCGCCATTGCCGCTGCTTTTACGGGACAGCTCGGGCCAAACGGAACTTTGTAAGTTTTTTTTGTGTCAATAAAATTTGTGTATTGAAGGTTTTTAACAATTTAAACCAAATATTTATGTCCATTATGCCACATTTGATGTTTCAAGGGTAGAATGAATACCACTTTCTTCACAGTGCATCCACCATTGTTCTTAATATTTAATCAATTCATTTCCAAAAATTTGAAGGTTTGTATAGTCTTATTTATTGTTATTGTTATATATATATATATGCAAATTACACCCTATGGACTGATGGATAAAGTATAAAATTTTGATACAGAAGTTGTTTTAAATATTCATAGAACCGCATGACTTCATTGCACAACTCATACAGGAGTTGTCTTATGTCAAAGGTTAAGGCTCTTTAACATTTTTGTCATATCTGCATCTTTTTAAAATTAATCGAAATGTGCGATATATGAATACATTTACGGAAGCTATTGGAATAACATCGGTAAAATAGAAGGCACCTTGTAAAACTTGTATACACCATCGGTATACTTCCGGTGAAACAGCAAAAATCATATTCCTGTTTCCGGCGCCATTTGACCTAAATCCGTACAACCAATCCAAATAAAAAGAGAGACCATTCCTTGTGTCACAGCGATACGAACATCGGGTGTAACTAACATATTCTTATAAAGTGGCACAATATACATGTACAGTTGATAATAAACATGTCAATTTTTACTCTTTTATTTACAGTTGTCAGTTTGACGCCATTACCGGAAGTGTAGCTTTCATCCTGTTCACAACCGTTCCAACTGTTCTCATCTTATTGTTAACAGCGTTTTATACTTGTTGACATGGGAAAAGGATTAGGAACAAGTTTCCGGAATATCCCACCGTTGAAGAATTCAAAATGACGGATAAATCACGGCGCAGCAGCCAGGAACATGTCGTTGTTACGTTTGCATTCTTTTAGTACAATGGTGTCGTGTGCTGTATTTAGCGTGTGGCTGTTAATGATATTAAACGTGCCCCTTTTTCTTCATTAACTTAGACCACGTTAGTTAAAAACCTTGGAGGATTGTTTGAATCTAGCTATCTATTAATAATGAGGACGCAGGGACAAATGTCATGAAGACGATGGAAACAAACACACGATGGTTACAGACGACAACTTGAGCGCAGCGCACTCTGTTGACAACGCTGTTGCATTATCATCCGTGGAGAAAACTGCCATAGCACCGTCTGGAATAAGTTCATTTATACCGCCATATGATAATGGCGACACTACATGTGAGAACGGATATCCATATCCGTACAATTCGAATGCACGTGAACCACCGTTTGAAAATGAGTCCTCTTGAGCGAAACACGTTAACAACTGGATCGAAAATGAACACATTTAATAATATTTTCAAAAATTTCACTGACGTGTCACTTCGGTTTCAGCAGGTTAAAGCAGCATGCCTCCAGATTCAGTGAAATATTGTAATGTTAACAAAGATATTAATGTACATACTATTATTTTTTCAACGAAAATGTCCACAAAAAAATTGATCAAAATAATTATGCAAAAATAGCCTTATACTGTGTTAGTATTAAACGCGGTAAATACAATGTACTGCAAAATCAGTCATTAATCGCACAAAAATTTTAACTATAACATGAATCTTGATTTTTGTACTTTCCTTAAAATCTTCGTACATTTTCCTCAAATTTGATTTTCTTGAAATATTTTGGCTCATCTGGAGGCAAGCAGCTTTAATGGTTATGAACATAAGGAGTTGCATTCTATTTGTGGTTATGATCGCTGGATATTTCGAGTTATATTGTGTGAGGAAACTATAAAGCGTATTTTGCAGTAGGTTGGTAGTTTTAAACTTGGCATCGAATGTAAAAGATGAACCATCATGAATCATACTTATTGGAAACTGCGGCCTTACTTTCAATGGTCTAAAAATCCGATTACTGCTTCCAGATTTATGCTTTTTATTGTGAACATTAAAATAATTTTCAAATTAGCCTAAAACACTTATTACCTCCAAAATCACCTATAAAGTTAGGCGACATTAGTCTACCTTAGTTTATAAGTAATAGGATAGAAATATTGATTCGGCTGGTGAATATTTATATAATTTTTTTTAAATTCCTTATACATTTCTATGCATATCTTTATCTATTAGTTGACGTATATGGAAGAATTTATATGGTGGCTGATTTGTTACACTTTTGCGCGTCGAGATGTTGCTAGCGTCAACACGACAAACGCCTTGGCATAAAATCGTCCTGTCGATAGCGAAAGACGCCAAACGGCGCATTGTGTCGCGGCGTTTGGCGCAATGACACATTGTCGTTTGACTCAAATGAAATAATTGGCTAATTGGCGTTTTGATGCTCGCTCGAGCAATGCGACAGCACGATAATAAGCAAATCCTTCGATATAAGGCAATCGACAGGGCGACATGGCGACAACACGCCGCGGTTCGGTGCGTGCCGCAGCAAAAAGACGACAAGATGGAAAGATCCATGCTGTTCGCTAACCAAGCCTATTACAAGTGGATATACTGATAGCGAACAACGTGTATCCTGATCAGACTGCGCAGATGCGCAGACCGGTCTGCATCCATGCTGGTCGCAAACGCACCATGTTGGTTTTGTCGTGACGCGGCTCAAATGTTGTTTTGTCGCTAGCGACAACGCAAAATTGTTTTAAATCAATCACCATACATGTAACAGTGATATAATGTCTGTAATGCTTCACATCTAGCCCAAACAGCTGTGACAACGTCTATACATACTGTTATACTTGACAAACAACTATATAACATGTTTTCCGGGATCTAATAACCTATCAAGCTATTCCATAACATCAAAGAAAAGCAGAATTACCTGTTTTTAAGTGCATTAGAACTTTCTCTTCTAGCTTTTGCTTTGATTGATCCAATGTGTTTTATAGAAAATATGTGTAAAAATTGATTTTTATCATAACATTTGAAGAATAATTTAGTGATTTTAAAAACAAAATATATAAAAAGTTGAATAATTCTTTCAGTCATTTTTCATGTCTTTTGTTTCATCATATATGCTTCTAGATTTTTGCTGATGTTTTTGATCTAGTGCTTAATGTGTTCATTAAGAACTGAATTTGTTTTGATAAGCTCTAACTTCTTCATAGGAAATTATATATCATGTAAATCTTTTCAATTTGTCTGTCTTACCTTTTACGTTTAACAGTATATTTTATGTATTTGTATTTTACTTGTAATAATTTTAAATTTATGCAAGCATCTTAAATTTGATCATTTCTTTTTACTTGTTAGGCATATTTGAAATATGAGTTGGTAAATGACTTTTCGCTACATTTTCATGTATTTTTGATATATATATAAGCTTCAAAACTAAGATCTGTTATTGCATGTTATACTGTAAAAATAAATCAAAGCACAGAAGGCGCTGAATTTAATTGGGTCTCAGAATGTAAGAAAGGTGCAGGTTGTGAGATTATATGAATAGTGCCACTAATGCTTTCCAGCGTTTTAATTGTAGTATATTGGCTATAAGACTAATTGCAACACTGATATTCAATCCAAATGTTATATTTGACTTTAACAATTTTGAAAAAAATGAGTTACCTTTACTGGGATTTTGAACTCCAGACCTCTTCGCTTCCTTAGCGAGCCCGAAAACCTTCAGCCACGGTGAATTTTATATGTGAACAGCCTGAAGAAAAACCTATTATTCTAAATTAGGCTTTTAACGACTTTAAACTGTTGTTTAACACAGATGTAAATAATATCCTGGACACTTACTATAAGCATGTATATTTTATAAAGCAATCAAAGTGGCTGCAAGATCTTGGTATTTTCTATTCTTTGCAATCTAAATCGTTACTGTATATCGTATGCATTTTCCTGTATAAGTTTATTTTTATGTATTATAATTCATTTGCAAGGCACCGAGTTTGATACATACGGGATCTGCATAACTAGAGTTGCATCAAAAAATTCATATTTTGGTCATTTTTTACGACAGCCACACTTTATCCTTGGCATATTCATGGCTACTCCTTAACAAAGACACTTAAAAAAGAATTTTAACAAAAAAAAAACAGTTTCCCTCGATTGGATTTGAACTCGGAAGACCTCTCACTCACTAAGCGAGTGCGTTACCACTGTACCAACGGAGAAGTCAATATTACTCAAAGTCTGAATAACATCAAGTGCATTCTAAATAAAGAACTTCCATTTGCATTTCGGTTTGTAATCCTTAATAATTTCGGAAAGGTATTTTGTTCAGGATTAACCTGTTGTTTAAAATTGAAGTAAATATTTCAGCGAAAATCTTCTCGCCCAAAACAGTCCGACATGTAGAATCTATATATTCACTACTCGGTTTGTGTCAGTATCGGTAATCGACATCGCTAAAAATAGTATTTTTCATTGATAAAATCATATTTCATCCGCGTAATTTGTTGATTGTGCATTTATTGACAATTCTATAAGCCAACGCTATTGTTTTAACTTTAAATGCGTTGTAATTTGTTTGGATACTTGTAACAAAATAAAATATTTCTTTCTTTTTAAATCGTTTGTTTAAAAGCTGTATTGGAACTACTTGTGTTTAGGTTTGTCGTAAACTTCTGTGTCAGAGATTGAATGTCCGCTTTGTATTTACTTATTTTCGATTTCAGAAAATACAATAAAACAATATTAGAAATCTTCGACCATTCGGGAATTACTTTGCTTGGAAAATTAACGCGCCTGTCTTTGACCATCTTTACGCAGTTTGATCTTCCCCTGAATTTTTCGGCGTTAGTGTACATACAAAAGGGAAGTAACCGCTTCAAAAAAGTGGACTACTTTCGGCACTTGCAATTAACAACATTAGACTCTGAAATTTCGCTACCATTATTTGTTTGGTCTGACGACCCAAACAAATAAAAAACGAATGAAGTTCTTGTGTCGCCTCACTGTCCTAGTTATTAGTGACAGAAGTACAATGTATAAATATAGTATTTCGTTGACAGGCAGCGAACAATTTTTCGGCCATATTTTTCGTAACTATCTTAATGTGCTGCGAAACGCTCCCTACATTCAACTGTACTTGTCATTAAGCAATGGAATCGAATTATTAATTGGTATAGGTCACGTTTACAAGAGTGTTACAACTTGAGCTTTTTTTATGAAATTACGTACGGTGTGTATGTAGAAATAACAAATCGGCTTGCCACATGAAGTTTATGCCACATGCGCATCTGAAGATGTTTTCTGAGTAAAACCATGCGCTTTATATTGACATAACGGGGAGCATCAAAGCTATTGCAATGGCCAATCTGGAACAAAAGCGGACTAATGGTTGGGTCACGCTAGGAAATGGAAAATGACACATTTTTACGACATTTGTATTTTTAATGAAAACTGAAATGGCCGCATTTGATACAGTCCAAAGCGGGCATCAACAGGTCTCTATATTAGGGTTATTTGTGACCATAATGGTTGTCACCTGTTGTGTTTTTGGTCTGGACCTAGTTTTTTGTCACAAAATAACCCTAATATATAATCCAGGCACCGTTACAACCCCCTTTGGCCCCCAAGGTGTTGCACCGGCTAATCTGCAACATAATCGGACCAATGTGTCACGGTTGTCGCTAAACTATGTTGCTTTTAATGATTTTTTTTAGAATTTATATACAAAATAAAACACATTGCCTAACTGGGTAAAGTCCATGACTAAAATATCGGTCACATGTTGCTGTTCGAATGGTGATATCCGACCGAAGGAAAGAAGGAATCGTCACACTGAAGCTGGCATCTGAAGGTCACGTTTCTAAGGCTTTCGGGGGCATCTAAGCTAATGCACTATTTATGCGCATCGAGGGTAGGTCATTGTAACTTC